GATAAAGGAGGGGGATTTAAATTTTTTACCTAACTTTTTATATATAAAAATTTTTTATATAAAAAATTCACGATTTAAAAATTAAAATTACTTTTTTATTTTTCAATTTACCTATTTGTTTCCCAAAAAAAAATGACGTCTGCTCGATGGCCGGGCTCAGCTCGTTTCAAAATGAGCCCGAGCCAAGCTCGCTCTTTCATGGGTCGAGCCGGCTCGGCTCGACCTATTGACATCCCTATCCGCCGCCTCCTCCTCAGTCGGAGGTTGGAGCCTTTTGTTGGCCTCCACCAATTCCTCCATTTGCTTTTTGTACGCAGACAAGGAGGTCTTTAGGGCTCTCGCCTCTGCCATCATCCTTTGGATGGTTTTGAAGTTTGGCCTCAGAGACAGCTTCTTGTTAAAGTTATCTGCAAGGGAACAAGTAAATTAGTACAAGTGTAAATAGTTCGGAAAGTACTAAAAGATATTCGCTTCGGGACATTTACCTTGAGAGGCCATCAAGTCGTGCGTCACGAAGTGGATGTTTTTCATGATCAGCTGGTGGTATGATCTCTTCTTCGGAGGCACCTGATAGATAATGCAGATGAAGTCGAAGCCATCAGTGGAAAGCTCACACCGAGGAAGAATGCCTTCAAAAAGAAACACAGTAGTTGAGAACCGAACTGAAGAAGAATAAACAAGAAACACAAAGTCACAGTACTCACTAAGTGTTGAATACTTTGTGGGGACCGTAAAAGGTGCCAGGGGATCCTCCTCCATCGTGTCCCATCTCGCGGCATCCCAGCACCATGAGCTCTTCCACTCCTTAATGGAGCTCGACAGATCAAGCACGAATGGAGTGTGGGAACCCCATGAGGTCAAGTAGTACCAGTCCCTGGTCTTATTCGCCCCGGTCGCTACCTTGGGGATGTAGAGGGTCTGGAATACAGAAAAAGACAACTCTACCTCAAGCGACACCTCCTTCACAACATCGAGTAGCCCACCATTTAACTCCAAGAGTTCGAGTTTAATTGGGTAGGGGCTAAGCCGTATGACCTAAGTACTATACGGAAGAAATTGTGGATTGGGAGCCTAAGGCCAGCCATAAGGATCGCCTTGCTGATTGCCACACACCCTGGCCTAGGGTAGCAGACCCGCTCATTAGGTTCTGGTAGGATCAGATCTATACTATCTGGGATCCTATATTCAGCCCTAAGTCTTTCCAGGTCGGCACCCTTTAGCTTAGAGGGGTAACATATGCTCTCCAATGCACAGATGTGTCTACTGAGCTATCTGGTCTTTTCCATAAGTTCTCCCCCCAATAATCGCTTCGGCTATTTCAAAGGAAGTCGCCAAAATGGGCTCGTCCATCATCACTAGTTCCAACCCCCTCCCCGAGCTACCACTATCCTCAGAAGCCATTTTCAGAAACGAAAAGTTTCAAATACTAACTGAAACTTTTGAAATGGAGTCTCCCGCAGCCGAAAATGGTCAAGAAACGACGTAGGTCTCCGAAAACTAGGATTTCTTGTCGGAAAGTGCCTGAAGATCGTCGAAAAATGCAAAGATTTTGAGAGTAAATGGGGATTTTAATTTCGCAAAAGTGGAAAGCTCCAAAAATGCTCAAGTCCACATTTTATAGAGCGTCCCAACTGATCTCCACTGTCGAATTCAAATGTAATCAATCTAGGCCATTGAAATGAAATGCCAAATTCGATCTACGCCTGAGATCTAGCTGTGACCTTCACGCTCACGCGAAACGCGTTGCCTCGATCACCATCAGCCGTCTATAATAAGTAGCCGCAGCAGCATTTTCTTGGAATGGGCATCGTACCCAACTGTCGCCTTGAAAATACGTGACAGCTGTCAAATCATTTAACGTCAGAGATGCCAGCCTCAGATTGATCTCCTCACTTAGCTTTACAAAGTTTAGACGCACCTGACGAGGAGTCCCTTGTGGGTCATGCCTCGGTAGTTGCGTCCCCTCCTAAGCTTTACAAAACTTTAGCCATCTCCCAACGCGTCATCCCCTATGGGTCAGAGCACCGGTGGTAGATGAGCTCTTCACAAATCACGGTCCCTATCCCCAGGCGGACATACCCGATCGGGAAAATAAGTCCACCCATGATATAAATATTCATGCTTGAACTTGGGGGGACCACTGTTACGCCCCAATTTGAACCACTTCGAAAAGTCTACCACCGCGTCATACGAGGTGTTCAACACCCATCCGAAGTGGTTCCGAAGTGACTCTGCCACCAATGTTGTCAGCCTGCTAATGCACTGTGAGACACAGACAATCTACTGCACCGACCAAAGCGCCCTCGTCCCTGAAGTCAAGGCGCAGTATATCCCGAGGTTCCTTGTCAAAGCGCCGTCAATTTCAGAAAGAAATCTATGTCAAGATCCTTTCTGCCCCCAAGATTTAATTGATTTGACATCTCCATGAACCTAGTTGATGTGACGTCTCAACTTTATGTCAACTCAACTCGGGAGAAGTAATTACCCGCCCACCCTATAGACGCGGCTGATTGACGCCTATGAGCAGACGCCTCACACCGTTAGATGCATACACGTGTCTCATACCCAACGATTTTTCTCACTTATAAATACCCAAGGTTTGACAAGAGCCAAAGATAATGAAACTCTTACAACATAGCTTTCCATAACGAGCAAATATATAATCTCATCCCCACTATTTTGCATAACCTTAGTATTGTTCTAATCACTAAGGCTAACTTGACCGTTGGAGTGTATACGGTTGCCACTACTCCGATGGTTTCGGTCGTGTGCATCTGACTGTGCGCAGGAAGAAATACGTGGAATAGCTATCGGTTAGCCACGTGGAGGGTCCAATTTGCGAGGTCAACAAGTTGGATTCAAGTGAGAGTTCTTTAATGATGTGGAAAATGAAAGGTATGGAATTGACGATGCAACAAATGAAATGATTGGATAAAATTTGCAACAATTCGAAAGATTTGAGATTGCGATTATTCCTAAATTTTATCAAAATATTTCAAAATTTCTATCGAAAGTTCTGTCAAATGGTCCCTCCATGACAAATAGAGAAAAAATGATCCCTCAATGACAAATAGAGAAAAAAGCTTTAGAAGTAGGATTCACATTAGATTCTAATCATCTCAATTGTCCATGTCCTCCTTTTCTCCCTTTTCATTAGCACAGAAACAAAAGGCAAGTTCCTTATTAGGGTGGTTCGATAAAAAGTAAATGTAAACATCTATCATTGTAATTGCTCAAATACTTTTGAGTGATTATCGTGAACTAGACTTTTATGTAAAGAAAATACTCGTCTTTTAACACTACCCTCGACTTTTTTGGAGCAAGAATGGGCTCTACTTTCAATAAAGTGAGCTCACTTATAGCCAAATTTTAGAAGAAATATTTTTATATTTGTAAATGAGTATATTATATAAACATGTTTGGAGATAAAAAGTTACCTGAAAGTAATTTTCTCTTTTTTAATCTCAGCCAAATATGCCTAATCCTCTAACCAAGTGTTCATAATGGCATTATAAAGAAGCCCACAATCTCCATGGTGGATATGACGTTATTTTAACATTGTTGTTTAGTCCTAACCAAATTCAAATTATGGAGATTGAGGTCCAAACTGATATAAGATAATCTCTAGACAGGATTGATGCATTCAAGAAATGATGCCGAAGATTAGCCCAGACAAATTGCAGAGCATTGAGGTAATCGAAGGAGATGGAATAAGTATGCACTCTCTTTAACAACTTAGCAAATAGCATTATTCTTTTAATTGAGATGGTTAAATATAAGGAGATATTCTATGATGCACCGACACGGATACATATGTCCAACACGATACGTATTGGATACGTTGGCTCGTGATTTTTCAAAAAAATACCGACACGACACGTCGTCGACACTTTCATTAAATTCTTTAAAATTCTTCACTTATATAACTTAAAATTAGTTTTATACTTATTATTGATTTTTTTTTTGTTGAAATCTTTTAAATAAAAGTACTTATTTGTTATTTAATAATAAATTTGATTTAAAAATTTAGCTATAGTAAGAAAGAAAAATGATTATTGTAGAGTGATCGAAAAGTGTTGGTATCAACACGTATTCGACACGTGTCGAACACAAATACACTACACTAATTAGAGTGTCCGTGCTATACATATGAGATATTTGTCCAAGTGAACTTTCCTAATAATCCCAAGCAAGACTCTAACCACCAATCTTCATTGAACTTGCAACCTACGCCACGTTACCCAAGGGAATCAAAGTTGCAACGATTAGAAGAGAATATACTTAGCATATTCTAATCACCCATCCCACATACTTGCCTTCTAGACACTGGGTTTCTATTAACAAGACACAAATAAACTAATAAATTATCAGCAGGTACTCAATCATAAAGGGAATCATAGTTTAAAGAACTGGACACTCGAATTCAAACCAACCACAAAATTAAACAACAATTTGACATACTTGCCATATGATGAGTAACATGAGTTGCTCAATGGTAGGTCTAGATGGAGATAGAAGAATTCCGACTCAACTACCAAAAGATATTGACAATAGAACCTATCAATTCAAAAGAAATGACAACACTCCATTGACAAGAGTCCTCTTTGTACCTCAAGCTTGAGATATTCAAAACAGATCACATTCCAACTTCACCAGCTCATCCCAGCCGTCCCCAATCTCAAACCAGAGCTTTTCCGAAGAACATATCATAGACATCATATAACCAAGAGACTTAACAAACTGCGTCAGCTCATTTACGATTCAAATATGCTACCGTCACACGAGACGCCCAAAAAAAAAACAGTACCTTGTTCATGTACGCCATATGCATTGAGATCAAGATACATTTAACATTTCTCTACACTGATAAAAGCTTATTAGTAAACAAGAATCCTATAACAAGACAGCATTTTTTATAGCTTTTGATTTATGGCAAGCATCTTTTAGTCATATCGCAAGAGAGAATAATGTCACAATTAAAAAAAAAACACCAAGGTTTCTGCTTTTGCAGACGATAAATTCAACAAAGAGATGCGAATACAACCAAACAACAAAAGAGAATCTGTTTTATTCTAGAGAAAACCTCAAAAGGTATTACATTTATTTCTCATCGTAAATTACAATGAGTAGACTCAAATCATACACGCAAAGCATCATTTAGAACAAAAACCACGGTCACGAGTCTAAACACCAAGAACAATAAGATTCTGATCTCAACTCAATGAGAAGAAACCTTAAGATTGCGAGATTTATGGAACCAAGCCTTCCAACTTCCTGTTCCCTTCCGAGCCATTGTCACCGACTTCTCATCATCTACAACCTTCTCAGTTTGCGGTTTCTTGCACAGCATGAAATTCCGAACACCAAGAGATCCAATTGTCTCCCAGGGACTAAGACCTACACCCAAAGATAACATAGAAGATCAATACTTTGTTCAAATCAAAGTGGAAATCGTCAACATGGAAAAGAAGTGATATCTATCACATCCAATTGAGGACAACGAACCATGAACTAAAACCAACAACAGACTGTTATCAGATTGCAGAATGAAGAAAACAGTAGGTATAATAAATTGAATCCAATTGCAGTTTTAATTTCAAAAAATTATAAAAACAAAAACAGCTGTTTATCATGCTTCATGAGTTCATTACGGAAAATTTTATAACTATCAACCTTAATTTATTTTGAATTTACCTAATAGTTAATGGAAAACAAAATTTCGCCAAAAAAAAATACATATGGATTGCAATTTGCAATTTCTATAAAACTAAAACTCAAATACTGTTTACTAGGTTATAGTCGACAACACAAATGAACAATTGACATCAAACTTTTCATTAAAAACATATCAAAGAATTAGACAAAACAAATAAATTATGCGGAAAATTCATTACCGTCAATCCCGGCAAGAGGACAATAGAGCACGAAATTATTGAGATCCGACCCCAGAACGGGCAGCCTCCCCTCTCGGGCATACGATTTCAAGGCTGTATCCATTACAGCAGCAACAAGCTCCTCCTCGTTCACCACAAAACGGATCGGGCCAGCGCTCCCGAGCACCGTAATGCTGATGAGAAAACGGTTACCCTTCCCGACTTGATTCTTCTTCTGCTTGGAAAGCAACATCCTTTAAATTCCGATTTTTTTCACCAAATATTTTTTCCTTATTTCGAAAAGCGATAAACAAATACCAAAAAGAGGAGGGATTAACGAATTCAATTAAATAAAACGGACAAAAGGAATAAGCCGAATTGCAAAATTGAATTGAAGTCGTGTTTGATTCAGGGGTCAAGGCCTTGGCAGCGGTAGTACCAGCCTTCCATACAGGAGCCGAAGCAGAAAGAGGTGTCAACAGAAAACCCCCTTCTTGGAGAAGAAGAAAATGGTGATATCATTAATTGTATACCCGAGATTTCCACCATTCACAATGGAATTGAATTGGTTTGGATTTTGGGATAAACGGGCCCGAAACAAGAAATCGAGAATATTTGAGAAACAAAATGGGGGGCAAAGGGGGCAGAAGAAGAAAGGAAGAAGATTGCGATGCCAAACAAATTGATTCGGTTGAGAATGCGATGGAAAAGAGATGCCTATCCTCTATATATATAGATATATATACGGATGTAAATCTTTAGGGTTAGGGTTCTATCCCTACAAAATTATCCCAGAATGCGCTGGAAATTGGTTTCTTGGGGAATATTCTCTTCTAGTGAATTTCCAAGACGCACCACTTCGCAGTTCGCACCGGCCCATTTTAGAGAGATTATAATTTGGTCCCACTGTATTTGCAAAATGTCTTTTAAGTCCTTAAGAAGTTATACTTTTGTACAACACACATAAGATAAGATTCACGTTTGATGAAAATTTTACATTGAGCCTATTTGAGAGTGATTTTAAAAATTGATTTTTTGATCGTTAAGAGAAAAGTTGGGTCTATCTGTGAGAAAATAAGTCAAATATGACGGATGAAATTGTGAAATAACGATCAAAAAATTAATTTTTTGGAAAAAAATCATTTCCAAACATGCTCTAATATTTAGGCCATTTTTTGAGGAATTGCTTTACTCACCACACAAAAAGGTGAAGTTGTACTTTCATACAACACATATAAGAATCATTTGCGATAAAAGTTTTACGTAACATTTGACCTTTTTTTAGATTATAAATAGGTCATACTCTTTTCGCAAACTGTCTTTTAGGTCCTTATTCATCACGTGAAAGATGAAAGGGTACTTTCGTACAAAACGCATAAGAATCACGTGTGATGCAATTTTTACGTAATATTCAGCCCTTTTTAAGAAATTATAACTTCGTCCTACATTTTTACAAAAAAAATCTTTGAGGTCCTTATTCGCTGTGCGAAAAGATGAAGCAGTACTTTTGTGCAACACACATAAGAATCATGTATGACGAAAGTTTTGCTAAATATTCGACCCATTTTTTGAGATATTATAATTTATTCCTACTATGTGATGAAGCGGTACTTTCGTACAAGATTTATAGGAATTACATGTGATGAAAATTTTATGCAATATTTTCAAATTGGAAGAGAATTGAAAAATACATTTCTCGGTTTGATGATTTCGTTCGTGTCATATTCTATGCATTCATTACTACTTGTTTAGACCAAAATATTTGTTACCTATTTAGCAAATTCACTTAATTTTGTACCATTGAATTCTCATAAATAGTTCACGTGGGAGTTTGTACTCAAATTGTCAGGTAATTAGTTATATTTTTCAAATTAATAAATGACATTGATGTGATTAAAAATAAATATTCCACTAAGGATTAACTTTTTTTTATATTAATAAATGGCATTAATAATGATAGAGTGACGTTACTTTTCTCTACGCGTTGATGTAAATTTTTCAAAATAATTTGTTGAATATTTTTTTTCCTCGATCTCAATTTCTGTTTATTAAAATAATAAAGAATAACAAGTTGGCAGTAAACAAATTTAAAATGTTAAATGTGATTACGTTGGGTCAAAAATGAAACAAGAACCCTACTTAAGTAATTTAATATAATTATAATAATATTTTTGTGCTTTTGTGTGGTACAAACAAGACTTGATATTCAAAAGTACAACAGTTTTCACGCATATTCACTTATGTGCAAATGGACAGTGCATGTTGCTAATTAATATAATTTGCCCATTTTGATATGTTGTGAGGGTAAAATTGGAACTTGGACTACATATTCAGAAACTCGTCTGAGAAATATTATGTCCACGACCAATGCAAGTACATGTCTTGAACCATTGGTGACATTTGAAGGAAAATGAAAGCTATGTATAGTATCCAATTCGGAATTTCAATTGTTAGAATCATAGGCTTTTTGAAAGTCTACTTTGATGGCACACCAAGGACGTTTTAATATGAATAAATAAAAATTCAAAATTTTATATCTTGAAATAGGGGAATTTGAATTAAACAATTTTAACTGCTCAAGTATCTGAACAAATCATCATTCATGCCTTCATCACAAATTATTTCAACCTTTGCCATGGACCCACATCACATATATACATTATCAAAGTTTGAATGCAATTTCCCCCCCTTGCATCATAACCAAGGATTAAAATGGTCTTTTGACCAACTTATGTTGATGATATTTGGTTGATATATGCTCAAGAAGTCATCATTACTCCATCACTTATTGATCTTGTTTCTTTTAGGATGACGCGGACAACAGATGTCAGGTCCAATCGCATCAATGCAAGCAAATTCTAACACGCTTTGATCGGGAACTTGGTCAGACGAGGTTTTTGTATATGGATGTAGGAGATGCTCTATGATATGAGACAAAAATGTTCAGACACCAATGAGATATGAGGGAAAATAACTAATCACAAATAATTAAAGAAAGCAAAGCAATCCTAACTCCATCAAAGCAAGTGTATAATCAGCAAGAGACAAGACAACTAATACCTTTTAAGTGTATTGAGTTGCATTCCTTTCAAATGATACATGGAGGGGGTATTTATAGTATTATATATGAAATGGTGTCCATTGAATGAAGATACATTTTACCTCATCTCCTTATTCGAAGCATACAATCCTAAGCATCAATTTGAACTTCCTAACATGTGGCGCATTTAATGTTTTTACAAAGAGCAGCCACCACATTGTCTAAACTGATAAGACTTGACATTTTACTCATTATAAAGGTTCCATCAATCATTCTAAAAGAATTTCATACATAAATTCAGGATCTCCACGTGTGGGTCATCACTTGCTGTGATTTGGATTTGATTTTGGCTTTGTTGACTTTTTCGCCTTTGTATCTTTACTTCAATAGAGGAAATACGAATGAGCCTTGGACTTAGCTTCAAGGCTTCGTCATGCATGCATATGTCTTCCATGGAGATAGTTCTCCGATTTGAGCAGGTCGGATACATAGAGCCATGTGTGGTGAAGCTTAACAATAATCCCCCAAGTCCATATATAGTTATTCATATCATATGTGAACTTCAGTATTGAGTTGATAACAATAACAGTCTCCCAAGTCAAGTATGGATACTTATATCATAATTGGAGTTAAAAGTTAGCCATGTTTCTTCATATTACAAAAGTACCTAAAATTTGTTTGAGCTGAGGCAGGATAGACCTAAACTATCGAGGCTCTTTTTATTTTGAAGATAATTGAAATTTATTTTGAGCCGAGGCAAGATAATGCTAAACTGCTGAGACTCTTTTATTTTGAAGATAACTGAAATTTATTTTGAGCCGAAGCTGGACGATGTTAAACTACCGAGGCAAGATGATTTTGAACCGCCAAAGCTCCTTTATTTTGAAGATATTGACCTCGATAGTGCTACCAATGATTTGATATTTTTGCATATTGCCAAGAAAAAATAGCCAAAACGTTATGACTTTCGATACACATACGGTCGTTAAAACAAATGCGCAATGATGGCCATGGTGCTGCAAGCGAAGCATGACGCGTTGATGCTCATGCGTGGGAGACACGCATTACAGATCTTGATCCAACGACTGGGGTTCATTCTCTCTTTAGTATAAAAGCTAAAAATTACCATATTTTTACTTTTGCAATACTCAAACTTTCCGACAACCTCCATTTTCAAGATAACATTCATTCTTAGATCTTCCTTTCATCTAGGTAACATTTCTATTAGATTCTTTCTTCATCATCACCTCCATCATTTTCTATTATTTTCGATGGCTTTCGGGTCGAGTGGTAATAATGGTAAGGTTATGATTGCGAGATTCGGAGAAGAGGCTTTGCTTGGAGGTCAGAAATACATTAGGCCATGAGTGAGGATCCCAGATATTATGAGGAGGGTGGGAGTTGCCAAGAATCCTTCTATGATGACGTCCAACAAACTAGCCAAACTTGGGGAAAAATATAGTATTCCAATTACATAGAACTCCTAGTGTCGGAGGCCCACAAACTTGTCTGATGCTCGAGGCTGGATTGCATGGCAGTAAGTGAATTTCAGTTTAAAGCAGGAATGCGTCTACTCTTGCACCTCTTCTTTAGAGCGGTGCTGAGGTGTTTCTTGTTGGCTTCAACCCAGGTTCTACAAAATGGGTGGAGCCAGTTGGCCGAGCCTACTTCCTTTATAAGGAGGTCTCAAGAGATACCTCTGCGTGTCTTCCAAACACTTTTCCAACCTCGGGTACTAGGGAAAGATGAGTTAAATGGATAGTATTACATAACCCCTTGGGGAGCTCATGCTTTCATTGTAATGGGTCTTCTTTCCTTCATTAAGAGGTAGAAGGATTCTCGATTCTGAGCAAAGAAGAGGTGGCAAATGGTTGAGGGAAACACAGTCCTAGCTTGCACCATACCGACTTAGTACTCTGAAGCGTGTGAATGCCTTCTTTTATATCTTATATTTCTCTTCTATAACTTCAACTGACATTACCTCTTTTGCAGATTTGAGATCTCGCTTTGAACTGCACGAGGCGAAGTTGGACATTCTTGAGGACATCTACAAACGTTCTCTGAAGCTGCACCACTTTGATAATTTAATAGACGGAAGCAGATATTTTTTGGACTTTGGATTGATAGCTTTAAAAAGTAACCTCTAGAGCCTTATGTGTGATTATTTCATAGTTTTTATGATAGTTTCTAACCTTTGTTTGTAGATAATTTCAAAAAGAAGAAGTATCATATCTGACATGGCCTCAATCTTAAAGGCCATTTAGACTGTTGGCGCGAAGCTTTGAAGCCTTCTTCTAGGAGCTCCAAGCACGTCAAGGGTAAATTATGGTACCTCAGCAAGGACTACGTTGAAAAGGATGGCGAGGAGACAACCCCCAAGGTGGATTAGGCCAAGGGAAATGGGGATAAGGGAAAGGAGAAAGCAAAAGAGCCTCAAAGAGAAAACTTTCATAGTAGTAGCTTTGCTTTGGTGAATTTTGGCACCATTATAGTCCATGTTGCTAAACAAACTACTTTCCCTCTCCAAAGCATATGGACGCTTTGATGAAGGCTGTAAAGGTTTAGATGGTGAAAAGAGCCAACGAAAGGCTAAAAAAGAACCAGACAAGCCTCGGAGGCTACGAAGAAAGCCCAAACGGCAAGGACCCCTTGGAAATCCGTAAGATTCTTGGTGAGGCAAAATAAGGAGATTTTCCTGCTATTATGAATATGCTGCCTTAAGAAGTCCGAGGCGCCACCA